TGCTGATAAAACACATGCATACAACAAAATATAGGTATATTGGTTTAAGCGGTCTTCAAGAGGAAAGTGAAGAGTATTTAGTGAACTTGTCTCTAACTCAAAGCTTTTGGAGATTAAACATGTGTAAGAAAAGGCAAGAAATAAAAAATTTGTATGAGACTTAGCAAGGAATGTTTTCAATGCTTATATAAGACCCCTCTGGGGGCCAGCAGATGGCATAATTGCATCATTGGACTCCCACATAGTCGATGGTCATTTGAGTCCCAGACCTGACCACTTAAAACTTACTCCAGGTGCGTGCGCGTGCCCAAAATTCCTAGAGGAGAATGGAGGAAAAGGGATTGTGGCATGGCCATCCCTCGGGAGGGGGATTTCTAGCTTTCTTCTCTCTGTCTCTGTCTCTCTGGCAAGTGTGTGTGCCCTATAGCAAAAATTTCTCTTAAATAAAAAAAGAGACCTCCCCCTCAGACCAGGTTGAAACACAGGTGAAGCCCTAAAAAGGGCCTTAAAAGCCCAGTTGCCTAAGAGCCTTAGAACAAAAGCATGAACTGTCTTGTATTAAAAATCCTAAAAGTGGGACCAGCAGATGGTGTAATGTTGTCACTGGACTCCCATGTAGTTGTCTGCAGTTCAAATCCCAGATCCAGCAGCATATAACTCAAGCCAGGTGTGTGAGCGTGTGGGCCCAAAATCCCAAGAGGAGAATGGAAGAGAAGGAATTGTGGTGTGGTCACCCCCTCTGAGGGGTGATTTCTTGCTTTCTGTCTCTCTTTGTCCCTCCAACAATCACATGTGCCCAATACCAAAATTCTAAAAAAAGAAAAAAAATCCTAAGAGAAGCTAGAATTATCATGGTAATATCATGTTGGGTTCCCAGTTTGGTGTCCAAGATTTTGTTACTCCTATTACTTGTATGTCCGAGGACAAAGCTGGGTGACAAGGGACAGTTGAGAATTATTCATTCAAGTAGACAAGTGCCTCAATTGCCCATTATAACATAGTAGCTCATGATATGATGGTTTGTGAGGTGGACCAATTTCCTTGAATGTGCAGGAGGGGAAAAATATATGGAGGGAAAGGATGAGGTCCCTGAAAATAATATGTGATCAGGCATGCAGATTTGGAGTTAGGTGAGAGTAGATTTAAACCTCAATCCTGCTTTTACTTGCCGTATAACCTTGGACAATTGAAAAGTAGTTGAATGAGTGCAATTTGCCCAAGAGTCTATCCTTTTTTCCATTTTCTCTTGCAACTGAAACATATGCTTTCTCTTTCAGTTCCTGGCCCAACATTGGAGACTTTTGTGGGAGCAGACATCAACACTATTCTTATCACAAACCTCCTCAGTGGAATGGACTACAATGTGAAAGTGTTTGCCTCCCAGGCTTCAGGCCTCAGTGATGCTCTGAGTGGCATGGTGAAAACACGTAAGACTGTCCTCCAATTGCTTCAGATCCTCTTGTGGTTTTGCTACTTTGTTTTTACTGTAACTCCTAACTCAATCCCTGCTTCAATTTGGCAGTCCCTCCCTCCCCCCCAGCATTACCCTTTCTGGATGGTGATTTGTGGAAAGAAAGGTGTATTCTTTGCTCAGAGTACTCCCGAGTCCTGGTTGGCAGGCTGACTGTCAGCACTTGGCTTTCAAATCAACTTGATGATTGCAGATAGGATTTCCTTTTGGAAAGTCTTTGTTGGCATTTTTCAAATTAGGGGAAAATTCCAGGCAGCTCATAGCCTGACATGACCAATGCCAGTCAGAGTTGGGCCAGGGAGATGTTTGCCTTTTCTCAAGGCTATCACTCCATCTTCTAAACACAAACACACAAACACACGCACACACACACACACGCACACGCTTGTACACACATACGATCTCCCTCATATGCCACACTTCTCTAAGGATGTTCTCCTCTACTCTTTCGAGGGCTTTCATGCTGTCTGCACACCATCTGGGACTTCTCACTGGCATACACCACTCCCAGACACCCGTGGAATAATGCGATGTTCTCCAAACTCCCGCTTGTATGTTTCATATTCCTGAAGTTTGCTATACCGCCACAGTGTCTGTTTAATACATTCCTTTCTATCAACTTACAGTTTTTTATGTAAACACATTCCACAACTCATCTAAGTACGCTAAACAGAATATCAGTATTTTTAATACACATTAAAAATAACATATAAGAACCAACCAGCCAGTCGTGTGGGTAGTTAAGGCAGCTGGATCCCATATGGCTGATAATGTGGTTCGAGATCCAGACCTAGCAGCTTGAAAAGCACACTGGGTATGCTTCAAGTCCCAAGAGGAGAATGGAGGAGAAGGAATTTTTTCATGCCCATCTCCCCAGGTGGTGCTTTCTCACTTTCTCTGTCTTTCTCTGTCTTCAGGAAGCACATGTGCCCTATAGCAAAATATTTTAAAAGTTAAACAAAAACAACAACAGCAATAAACACAGAAATCACCAAAATAAAAGTGATCTGGCCATATGCTAATTAAGAGAATCCTGTGTGCTATCAACAATGTGAACTTCACTCTGGAGAAGGATAGTCATGGTATAATCAAAAGAATGCTTAGTCTTAAATCTGCTACTTGATAGCTAGAGCCCTGGGCAAATTGCTTCTTGATTGAGCCCAAGCTTACTCAACTCTGAAATGAAGATCATAATCACCATCCTACAGGTAAATTGTGAGGATTACAGAGATAATACATACAAAATGCCTACCATATGGCAAGCACTCAATGAATTACCCACCACTTTTATCCTTGTAATCATTGTGCTTTATAGAAGTTCTTGGCCCTCATCCCTAAACAAATAATTAATCTGATAAATAGTATCAGGCAAGAGTGAGGCATATATTAAGCCAGACTCTGTGCCACCCTGGAGTTCAGTGGGACCAGTCTTTTCATTAGAGGAGGCTTCCTAAATTCTCTTTCATGGAATATCCTGAGACCTTAAAAACGACACAGTGAATAAATTTCATCTCAAAAGCAATAGTCTCCACCTTCACCAGATCTAGGGAGCCTTTGGTGTTTTGATCTCATACTTGACGGCTGAAGGGATACTATTCTGGGCACGAATGGAACCTCCAAGTATTCCCCCGTTGTGCTCTTCAGCAACTCTTCAGCCCTTTCTCAGTCACACCTGGGAGTCTCCGTGCATTTTGGTTTTTAAAAATATATATTTATTATTTACATTTAATCAGTGTAAATCTTTACAGTGTACAACGTGGTTTTATCCAGCATGAATACAACACATATCAGTCAAGACAAAAACGTTATCGAACACATTATCATCACCAAAAAATGTTTCATTTTTGTGTCAGTTAAACACATTGTTTGTTTTTGCCCCTGTTCCCCTCCCTCCCCCTATTACCTACCCCCTGTTACCCCTCCCTTACTATCTCTAGTATCTACACCTGCCCTCCAAGCTATTATACCTTCCAACCTTTCAGTTTCTGCTGTAGAGTGCAAGCATTTGGTATATATTGAGTGAGGACATCTGAAGTCTCTGGGTTGTCTGGCTTACTTCACTTAGCATTAAGTCTTCCATATTCATCCACTTCATATCAGATGTCAGCGTCTCATTACTTTTTATGGCTGAGTAGTATTCCATAGAGTACATATGCCCTTGTGCATTCCCCTCCCCTTTCTCTGGTTGGTCTTTAGTTTTCTCTTTACGTATGTTTTTCTGTCTACGCCACTTTCTTCTGTCTCTGGGATTGTTCATGCATCTTTTCTTCTTACTCTTTCTTGTTTTTTTCCTATCCTCCTTTCTCTCTTCCTTTGTTCTTCTATTCCCTCCCATTTCTCTCCTTTAATAAACATGTTGAGCATTCCAAACATATTTTAAAAGACTGAGACTATTGAATTGCTTTATAATATTTTCTCTAAAGTAAGAATTAAATGGACTTATTCTCTTTTTTATCTTCTTTTCCCCAAACAAAATAAAACCTCACACAATGGTAACCAAATTAATTGAGGTGTTTTTTTCAATTTCAGTGTAGTTATGTAAACCATTACTGGTTTCCTTTTTTTGTGTGAGGGAAGAGGGTTATTTAGCAGACTTTAGGAAAAAGTCTTCTCTCTACTTTACCAGAGAGAAACTATAAAAAGAAACAAACTGTAATTAAATAAGATTATTTTTATCATCTTTGAAAACTTCTTTTAATGTATTTTTATTTTATAAAAGAAGGAGAAGAAAGAGAAAATGATGTGGATGAAAGTCTGAGTCATTAGGGAAAGTAAATATACAAATTTTCTGCATTTTCTATTTAGATCTAAATGATAAACACTAGATATCCACTCTCAGATTATTTTGGGAAATAGTATTTTTATATTTTTGCTTCTCCAAATCACCATTTTGCACATAATATTCTAAGATTAGTAGGAATCTATGTTTTTATTTTTTTTGAGAGGTTTTTGCTATAAGGTGCGTGTGCTTACCAGAAAGAGAGAGATAGAGAGACAGAAATCCTCTCCCCAGGGAGGATGGCCTTGCCACAATCCCTTCTCCTCCATTCTCCTGTTGAGATATTGGACATGCACGCACACACACCCAGCGTGAGTTTAAGCTACCGGGTCCGGGACTTGAACCTCAGTCAACTACATGAGAGTCCAGTGACATAGCCATTACATCAACTACTGGTCCTGGAATCTATGTATTGTTAAAATAGTTTTGTTATCTGTGTAAATGCTTTCATTTTTAAGTTTTCAAAATTGTGTTCCTTCTCATTCTGTCATGTTTCAAAGGCCAGTCCTTGTGAGACTACTCCTATTTGGGCAGCACTGCTACTGTGTCCGCTTTGCTCTTCTCTTTTATTAAGCCATGGCAACTGCTCATTGATCGATAAGCATACACTGTATTCACCTTTTGCTATAAAAGTATTATATGTTCTTTGTGGAATATTTAGAAAACACAGTTACATAAAGGGGACTGAGTAAAGACTAGCCACAATTTCACCATCCATTATATCCTGTCTTTCCCCAGTGTGTATATAGATGTATAGTCATTAACGAATGTCACATATCATACATAATCTATTGAAACTGTTTTCTTCAGTCAAGAACTGTTATTTTTTATACGGAAATTCCATCTGTGAATGGGGGTTTGAATGGGAATTTTACCTTCAGTTCATTTTAGACTTGGGGACATTTATTGCATTGTCTGCAGTGTGACAGTTATGCTTCCATTTCATTATAGTGTTCTTGGGTGTGACCAATCTCCAAGCCAAGCAAATTGAAATGGCCAGCTTATGTGCTCACTGGCAGATGCATCGTCATGCCACAGCCTACAGAGTAGTTATAGAATCCCTCCAAGGTAAGTAGGATCTAGCACCTATTTTTATTCAAGCACTAATGAGCATAGTTCTATGCAAATCCCTGTGACTTACACCCAAGTAACATGTGACAAGAGCCCACTTCCTAAAGAAGCAATGTGTATAGTGGTCAATCTTGCAGCATAAGAAGTCAATCCGGCTGGATAAGATGATTACTTAACCTCTCCAAAACTCCATTTTTCTCACCTGTTTATCAGTAAAATTGTAGTGCTCATATTTTTAGGGCTTTGTGAGGATTAAATTGAAATAATTTTTGTAAAGCACTTACAGCAATGCTTTGCACATCGGCAGTACCCAAGGAAAGTTAACTGCAATTGGTAGTACACCCAAATAACCAGGACACACACATTAAAATTATATAGTACTTTGGTACTTCCTCCATGGGGTTAAGGTTTGAATGTAATGTTTTTCATAGTGATAATTTTCTTTTGGTGATGATTGCTGACCAACCAGAGCAGGTATAATGTTTTTATGTAATCATAAATGGGTTTTTCAGCATTACAGTTCCCAAGCACATCTACAATTGAGACTTTGTTCCAAAGTAAAAACACTAAAAATATCTTTTTCTCATCACTAAAATGACCAAAAGTAACAAGAAAAGGCTGACTTCCAAGAAGATGCATATCTAGGACCTGTTAGTCCTTTTTTCAAATTATCGGCATGGACAATGTTCAGAAGATGAAATCAAACAATAAAAATTACTTTTTTTGGATTTGTGTGAATGGTAGAAAATATGTGCCTTATTATTTTGTGATGATTATAGGAGACACTAGAGAATCTCACAGTACTCTTTTTAAAAATGTTTATTTATTTTAATTTATTATTATTATTCTTTAATTTGCTCGAGAGAGAGAGAGAGAGACAGAGAGAGAGAAAGAGAATGTAAGAAAGAAAGCTGCCTGGTCAGGGAATCAAATTGTGGTCAGCCATGGAGGAAGTCCTTTGCCTTAATCGCCATACCATCTGCTGGTCCCTCTTGAAGTTGGTGTAAAACTTAAAAATGTGAACAATGATCTTGATTTTCTCAATTAAAAAAACCCAAAACAATACAGAAGAAGCTCATTTTTTTTTTTTAGGTCTATATAAGACTTGGTTTAGTAGCTAATATTCCTGTTTATAACTACATTTAAAAATCCATAAATTCCACTTTGACCCACTCCATAAAGTGTAAACCACAGTTTAGCAGACTGCTTAGAACACTTAAAAATATATTCCTGT